CATATTTCCTTTTATGTGTTATCTCCACCTAAAAACTGTTAGCTTCTTGAGGCCAGGAATTACACCTTACTTGTTATATGTCCCTAGTGCCTAGCATATGATAAATATTTAGTGAGTACTTAATGAATGAATGAACAAGTGCACAGACTAATTAGGAACATATGGCTCCATAGAGATGGATGTAGGAGGAGCTTTGAGAGTTGGCATGAAATGGTCAAGTGGTAATAAGGAGGAAGAGGAGTAAATTAAATGCAATGTAGGTAGAATTTCACTCCATTACTAGAAGCAATTCTATGACTACTCAAAAAAACAGAAAGGGTCACCTCAGTGGGAGTACTGTCCCTGAGAATAGTTCAGCAGAGGTAGTAATATAGTAATACCTACTACACTACTACGTTTTCTAGGAGGTAATGCCAATTTCTAACATTTCATGGCAACTCCATATGAGATGTTGTAAGACATGGTCTTAAATTAATATTTAAACTTTCCTGCCTATTGATTCTATATTTTAATATCCTAGCTCGTCTCTTAAGTATACTTTTTAATTTTTAAAGGAACTACATATCTCTTTTTTATTTCATTATGGATATATGTCCTCAATCTGTATGTAGGTAATATCTAAAGCAGTTTTATTGAGAAGATATATATTCGGAGACCTTTGCTCCACCATTGGAAAAGGGAGATAGAATTGTAAATTTTTCATAGCAACTTTTTGGATTATACATCCATTTATTGAAAGAACAGGGTTGGCTGGGGAGGCTGTTTTGGTTTTAAATCAGAATGGCTTTAAACCCCAAATGGCTTTAAAACCAAGTTCTGTAAATCTTGAACTGAACTAAACCTTTAACTTCACAGTATCATTAAATACTGGAAAATTAAATAGGCTCCACAGAATAGTCAAACCCAAAATAAATGCAAGATCCAAATTACTTTTTACAACTGCAGTAGTCAATTAACTGTGGGGTGGGGAATATTAATACTCTCAAGCTATACTTGCATATAAGCCACATAACCAGGAAATTGCCCATGCTGCCTCTAGGGCAAGTCTCTCTACTCCCCAAATGATGCAGGGGGCCTTGTAGTAATCAGATTTTTATTGGTGAATAACAAGAAACTAGATTTAACCTATTCATCGTGAATGATCTTGCCATTTCTATTATCAATGTCAGATAATGGCGACACTGGGTGAAAATTTTAACAATTTTTTCTTCTGAAGCTTCTTTGCAAAATCAGGTTCCTATCATTTCAGATATTTACATCCTGTAAGCATTTATTCTTCATTTGTAGATCTTTCTCTGTATCAACTGGCAAGTATTTATTATAGGATGAAAGTTATGCCTTAAGATTACCTCTTTCCAGCAGCAGGTAGGATGAAGAGTACAGGCAGCTCAAGGTGACACTTGAGTGAAACAGATTAGAATAGATTTGAAAATTACCCAGTTTAGCTCCCTGTCTTGATTGTATGAAAGGAACATTATGTATCCTGACTTTACTTGAAGCTACCATGTAGATAAGGCGTATTGACATCCAACCTTAAGAATTTTCCTTGGCTTTAGAAAAAAATAAATGTTACTGTTCTTCCTGATAAATGTAACAACTAGTCACACCTTGCAGATTACATTAAGGAGACTAAAGTTCTGCCAAAAGCCTATGAATAACTATGAGGTTTCATAGCTACTGATGAAAACAAGCTGTTCTATGTTTTATTATTTGAGAATATGTACCATATGGTGCTCAGGACAGACTCATAAACTCCACTAGGTTTCTGAAAAGATTTCATGTCATGTAAAGTTGATAAGAAAATCACATTTTCAATCTCATTACACCAAGTTCCATTTTTATTTTCTTTTCTAATATGCCATGTCAACAACAGAGGCAATACAATAATAGAATATCTTAACAACTAGGGAGTGAAATCAATCCTATAAGCATGCCTCACTGACAACTCTGCCCCATTATGATTTCTTAATGAAAAAGAAAATCTAAGGGTCAGAGAAGAAATTCAGGGTTAAAATGTTTTAAACCAATGAAATAGCTTGTACTTTAGCGTACAAACAAGTGAGCTATGAAGTATCACTCCTTGTCCATTTAGCTTTGGATAGATTTTATTTCCTGCTTAAAAGGTTCTCTATTTATAAGAAATGAGGAGAAAAACGGAGGGCGGGAGAATCTCACCAGTTAAAGTCTGGTGGAAAATTTGCCTTCAGATATTATGATTCTTTTCAAAGAATAATGTGGTATCTTTGAATTTATAATAAGTTCCCTGGAAGTAATGCTCAAAAGTCTGGAATTTTCTTAGATTAAGCATTACCATGAGAATAAAATATCAGCATCTACAAGAAATCTGGACTACTGCTTATCCTAGATACTAAAATCAAAATAGCCTTGATCTTTATGTAGGCATTCTACACAGTGTAACATTTTGGGAAGAAATACATCTCGGCAGAGACATATCTGAAAGGAATCAGCTCTGTTTGGGTGCTGTTCTATAAGGCATGAATTACAGGTTCTGCTCCGCGGGACGCTGGGGTAGTGACCACACATGCCGCTGAGGTCCACCCACTTTATTTTCTATTCTTTATACAGATCTTAAATTGAGAAATGCATAAGAAATCTCACCCTACTACTGAGGAATACCACTCTGTGGTTTTCCTCTGGGTCCTACCAGCAATCCCACCATGGCCATAGAACACTCTTTACATGTTTTTCTTAAATATGTTTATGTTGATGTGGTATCTTAATGTTTTAAGTAGACTCCTAAATCATTTCTTCCCCTGGAATAATTTCCCTCCTAAAGCCAGTAACATTTGTCAAGCTAAGGAAGGTACACAGCCAAAATTCCTCTCTGTAATTACAGAAAACCATAATGGCCTCTTAAGTTACTTGTGTGGTTACACGCTTTAAATAGGGTTGGGAGGAGGAGGTTGGAGGGGGGAAGGTTGAATCTTTGACAATGACATGGTGACAGAAAACTCAAAGGAAGTTACCCGTAGAACAGCAGTATTTGATATATTCTCTCTCTCTCTCTTTTTT